AGCCCAGAGATAAACCCACGCACATATCTTTGATAAAGGAGGCAAGAATATACAATGGAGAAAAGACAGCCTCTTCAATAAGTGTTGCTGGGAAAACTGGACAGCTACATGTAAAAGAATGAAATTAGAACACTCCCTAACACCATACACAAAAATAAACTCAAAATGGATTAAAGACATTATAAAACTCTCAGAGGAAAACCTAGCCAGAACACTCTATGATATAAACCACAGCAAGATCCTTTTTGACACACCTCCTAGAGAAATAGAAATAAAAACAAAAATAAACAAATGTAACCTAATTAAACTTAAAAGCTTTTGCACAGCAAAGGAAACTATAAAGAAGGTGAAAAGACAACCCTCAGAATGGGAGAAAATATTTGCAAATGAAACAACAGACAAAGGATTGATCTCCAAAATATACAAGCAGCTCATGTAGCTCAATATCAAAAAAACAAACAACCCAATCCAAAAATGGGCAATAGCCCTAAATAGACATTTCTCCGATGAAATTATACAGATTTCCAACGAACACATGAAAGGATGCTCAACATCCCTAATAATTAGAAAAATGCAAATCAAAACTACAATGAGGTATCACTTCACACCGTCAGCATGGCCATCATCAAAAAATCTACAAACAATAAATGCTGGAGAGGGTGTGGAGAAAATGGAAGCCTCTTGCACTGTTGGTGGGAATGTAAATTGATACAGCCACTAGGGAGAACAGTATGGAGGTTCCTTAAAAAACTAAAAATAGAACTACCATATGACCCAGCAATCCCACTACTGGGCATATACACTGAGAAAACCATAATTCAAAAAGAGTCATGTACCACAATGTTCATTGCAGCTGTATTTACAAGAGCCAGGACATGGAAGCAACCTAAGTGTCCATCAACAGATGAATGGATAAAGAAGATGTGGCACATACATACAATGGAATATTACTCAGCCTTAAAAAGAAACGAAATTGAGTTATTCGTAGTGACGTAGATGGACATAGAGTCTGCCATACAGAGTGAAGTAAGTCAGAAAGAGAAAAACAAATACCATACACTAACATATATATATGGAATGTAAAAAAAAAAAAAAAAAAGGTTCTGAAGAACCTAGGGGGCAGGACAGGAAGAAAGAGGCAGACGTAGAGAATAGACTTCAGGATATGCAGAGGGGGAAGGGTAAGCTGGGACGAAGTGAGAGAGTGGCATGGACATATATACACTACCAAATATAAAATAGCTAGCTAGTAGGAAGCAGCCGCATAGCACAGGGAGGTCAGCTCAGTGCTTTGTGACCACCTAGAGGGGTGGGATAGGGAGGGTGGGAGGGAGATGCAAGAGGGAGGGGATATGGGGATATATGTATACATATAGCTGATTCACTTTGTTATACAGCAGAAACTAACACACCATTGTAAAGCAATTATACTCCAATAAAGATGTTAAAAAAATAAAATAAAAGTAAAAAAAAATAGTATATTAATTCTTTGCAGTCAAATCAGCCAAAAATTCAGTGATTTCAAGAATTCAGACAAAAGGGGCATGCCCATACTCTACCTCTAACATGACAATTATTATAGGGTGGTTTAGCAATACTCATTGAAAGCCTGAAAAATGTGCCTACATGTGGAACCAATAATTGCACATCTAAGAATTTATTTAAAAGAAGCAATTGGGGTTTTTGCAAAGACTTAGCAACAGAATACTCATATCTACATTGTTTGCAGTAGGGAAAAAAATAACCTAAATGTCTAACAGTAGCGAGTTGGTCAAATAAATTATACTTTCATACAATGAAATGCTAGTTAACCACTGAAAGTGTAGAATAATGAACTTGAAAGAATGTTCAGAATATATTAAGTAAAAAGCTCATGAAAGAGGACGCAGAATATAGAGAAAAGAAGACTGAAGGATTATAATAAGATGTTAATAGTGATTACCTCTGAGTGGTAAAAATATGGGTGACGTTTACATCCTTTTTCATTCTCTTTTTTGTATATGTGTGATTTCTACATGGTCTATAGTAAACATATATTACTTTGATAAACAAAAATTCAGTGAAAGAGTTCCTTTTAATGTTCATACTCTTTGAGAAGTTCTACTTCTAGAAATTTATTCTAATAGTCATACATTCACACAAGAACATACATTACTATAATAACCAAAAAGGGAGACCAATTTAATGTCTAGCAATAGTAATTATAAAGTATGACATAACTCTAGCTATAGCTATAGGATGGAATACTGGGCAACTATTAAAAATCATGAGGTAGAAGAACATTTAAATCATAAAACATTCAGTGAAAAGGTAGATTATAAAATATTAAATACAATGCAAAGCTAATTTTTTTTAAACTATGTATAAATAGAAAAAAGAATGGAAGGAAATATACCAAAATGAACATCAACTCTGGTTCTCTCCAAGTGGTAGGGCTACAGGTAATTTATTTTCATCTTTCTGCATTTCGCACTTTTTCTACAATGTAATTTTAAACTCCAGAAAAAATTTAAGTTTGCATTTGAGGAGCAACTCTCTGCTGCCATCATGCTGTGAGGCATTTATATCTAAGCATGTTGGCATTCCATAACTGAATCCAAGAACTGGTCCTGTTATGAATGGGAAGAATATAGATTAAAATAAGTGAGAATAGGGGCAATATATTAATATCACGGATAAACAGAAAACTTCGGAAACCAATATATCAAGATGATAAGAATGATTAATTCTTGTTGGTAGAACATAGGTGGTGGTTACTTTCGTGGGTGTGATTTTCTATATTTTTAAAAAAATTTTCCAAAAATAAAAAATAAGATAAATAAAACCAAATGAGAGAGCTATAGATATTTCCAGTCATTGGTTCAGGAACAGTGGGGAAACCTCTGATCGTCTATCTCTGAGACTGTGGGAGAGCCTAGTTAGTTCTGGGATGGGAGGAAGCAGCCACAGCCATTGCTTTCCTCTATGGCCTCCAGGGTTGAACCCAGAGGCACTACCAGTGAAATAATGCAATGATGCTAGTCTCTCCATTCCATTGCATGCCAGGGAGCCCCTCACCCTATGCCAACAGCCACCCAATTCAGAGTCTCGGACCTCCAGGCCTTCACAACCTCTAGTCATGCAGAGCTTCCAGTCAAAAGCATTTCCTTCCCTGCCATGGCCCCCTTCTCTAGCTCTTCAGCAATCTGCCCCCTGCCACTACACTGCGAGCTTCTGGAGGGCTGGGACCGTGGTTTAGCTCAAATCTTGCCCCTGTGCCTACCATAGCACCAATTAACATTTACGAGACTTTGCAGGCAGGTATGAAACAGAATCTTGATGCCTAGTTCAGGAGTAGGGAGCAAGGATACCAGCAACCCAGAAGTGTTTCATCCTCACAGAAAAGCACAACCCAGCCCACTACTGGTGATGATATGACTAAAGTCGTTTCATGGGTAAGAGTGTCACCTAGTGGAATGGGGCAGACCTGGGCAGTGATTAAAGTAGGTCAAAATAGAAATAAAATAATTCAAAGAGATCTTCTTTGAAATAAAAATACACAACTCATCACAATAACTGGAGCAGTGGGGACCAGATGAACTGTCTGTGTAAGGACATGGTAGCAACAAAGTCAATATAGCATCAGTATACAAACTTACTTGTTACACGATAGGTTTCCTTTGCTTCACAGTGAAAAAACACATCTCATCTCACTGCCAAGGACTTACAAATTAATCATAAGGGTCAAGGTTCATGGTACTTACTCAAGGTTTCTGTGGATACTATGTTACTCCCATAACTTTAGAATTATTCTACTATTTTCAGCATTGTTTCTCTTAGTGGAGAGATGATGGAATTTGTCTATTATAAGAAGTATGTAAAGTGAGAAATTTCCTTTGCCAAAAGTTCATATAATGAAAGGTATGGAAAAATAACTTTTTTTCATTGAAACAAATTAATCCTGTAAATATTTGCTGGGTATCCCAAGCCACTGACTAGTGTTCTTAGAAAAAAGCTTTCAGGGGTAGAAAAACTGAGGTCAAAATTAGTATATTTTCCAAAAAAATTATTTTATTTTCCTCTTCAAATATAAGCCAAATAGTGGCTGTCAAACATCACAGGGAAATGCTCCATTTCCCGCGTCAGAATGGACTGAGGCCCCGCTGTTCAAGCTCACACACAGCACATCTGAGAGCATGCATGGGTGAAACTGATCAGAGTTGGTCTGTGTGAAGTGATGCCCTCTCTTCCAATGCAGTAAACTGGAGATGGTCAAACTGGATGCGGAGCTCCACGGAACTACATACACTTCATGATGCCAAGAGTACTATACACAGCTTGAGAAGCACATTCTGAACAAGTAAGTGCCTTTGAACCTCTGAAAGGCAAGGCAAAGCTTTTTTTTTTTTAGTTTTTTTTTTTTAAGATTTTAGGCAAAATCTTAGCCAGCATAACAAGAAAGTCTGTGGAATTCAAGAGGTGACACCTCACCTGTTTTTATTTATTTATTTAGGCCGTGCCACAGGGCTTACAGGATCTTAGTTCCCTGACCAGGGATTGAACCTGGGCCCGGCAGTGAAAGTGTGGAGTCCTAACCACTGGACCACCATGGAATTCCCACCACCTGCTTTTAAACACCAGCACAGTGACAAAGCTCATAATAAAGGTGGACAACCTCCATAACACCTTTCATCCAGATCACTGCAAGTTTCTGAGGGATCTCTCCATCTTCACTGTCTCAATTTGGCCAAACCTACACATTCTAGCCATATTAATAGCCTTGGAGTCTAACTCTGGCCATTTCATACGGCCTTTTCTCCTCCAACCCGTGCTTAAAAATCTTCACTGCTTCCAAAGTGCCTATCAAAAATGTTGCAACACCTCAGTTTAGTATTCAAGGTCCCTCAAAATGTGGCCCCAACCTACCTTTCCAAGCATATTTGACATAATTCCCCCATAATGAGCCTGTGGTCCAGCCAAATTAAAATTCTCACTGTTCAAGTGTACATATATTTTCTCACCTCTCTAGCAGTGAAAAAAATCAGGTCATCACAAAAGGCCATTAGGATCCTTCCCAAGTGCTGTGCAAAGCTTGCCCAGAAGAGAAGCATCTTTAGCTGTGCCATCACATAACGCACTGCCTTTGGAAATACAGATCCATGGAGGATGAGTCACGAGTTTATACATCTCAGTACCTGACCTGGATTATTTTAATGCTTGTTCTGGTACTCACTAGTCCACTGCTTCCCAAACGTTTTTGTAATTTTGACGTTTCATTGGTCTTACTTAAAAAAATTTTTTTTGTAAAACTCACTGACCCTACCCTAAAATGCTGGAAATTTTTTCTAAAAAATTAAAGCCAATTAAGATGAATTTGGTTTTGAGAATTTTAGAGCAATTTTGTGAGATCCTATGAGACACCCTGGAATGCCCCCAAAATGGAGTTGAGAATCACTGTCTCGGCAAATATGTTTGCCTCTCCATGCTTTATTATTTCCACCTACAGAATGAGAAGTAATGATGCTGGGAGGGTGAGAGGGAGGGAGATGCAACAGGGAAGAGATATGGGAGCATATGTATAACTGATTAACTTTGTTATAAAGTAGAAAATAACACACCATTGTAAAGCAATTATACTCCAATAAAGATGTTAAAAAAAAAAGATTAACTGAAGGCATTCTTAGGAAAATGCAAATGGGATGAGAGAAGGTTAGAAATGATAGTTTAGGAACACAGATATATCCAAGTAATGAATAAACTTGTAAATAACATTCTTTGCAGGTAATAATAATAAGCCACCAACCAAACAAACTAATTAAAATCTCAACATGGGGCTTCCCTGGTGGCACAGTGGTTAAGAGTCCACCTGCCAATGCAGGGGACGCGGGTTCGTGCCCTGGTCCGGGAGGATCCCACATGCCGCGGAGCAGCTGGGCCCGTGAGCCATGGCCACTAAGCCTGCGCTTCCGGAGCCTGTGCTCCACAACGGGAGAGGCCACAACAGTGAGAGGCCCACATACCGCAAAAAAAAAAAAAAAAAAAAAAATGGCCAGCATAAATTAGTCAGTTAGCTCATCTGATAGGTGCTAAACAGTTCCTCCTGCTTCTTAAGTAGTTCTTCTTCCCCATCCTGTAGAGTCACTACTTAGGTCACTAGATGTTTCCAGTTCTTACCAGAAACACAAGTGATTTTGACCTTTCAGGGGAAGAACCATCCCAAAGACCCACAGAAGCCGTGGAGGGGTGGACGAGCCCTTGCCTTCCCTTAGGAATTGCCATGTGTTTAGAGAAGGGGGTCTAGATTAAACCAAACCCATTTTCAGAGCTGACTAGACATCCCAACAGGAAGCTGCAAGTGTCCCAGATCAGAAGCAGGGCAAAACTCAACACACAGCATAGCTCTGGGCTTCTGAAGTCTTCATTGCTCTTCCCTCCTCAGTCACAGGAGATGAGAAGTTCCAGGTATCCCGGGACTCAGCGTATGGGCTAGCAGACAAGCATAAGGGAAAGCTATCCCATCTCTGAAAGAGCTCTGAATGCAGAAGCTAAAAGGCTATCTGTCTGGGACATTGCAAAGAAGATTACTGTATTAGATGAAATGTGGGATTGATCTCTTCCAGCCCCAGGACTCGAGGAATACTAAAGGGGGGGTGAAACAATAGGGCTCACCCCAATCTCTGGTATGCTGCACTTTGAAATCTACAGATGACTTTCCCTCCCACTATTACAGTTGATCTTCACAACAGCTTTATGAAGCCAATGTAGTTAGAATGACTTCAGAGATGAGGAAATTTATGCAGAGGTGAGTCAGTGGCGCAAGGTCATGCAGCTGGTGAATAGTAGAGCTAAGATCCAAACACTCCTTTTATGGAAACACAACACCTGTGAACAGAAGATATTTTTCTGTTTTTCTGAAGCCCTATCACCCTTTCTGGAGAGCCTCCAGGATGAAGACCTTGCAGAAGACACAATCTAATTTTCTCTTGAAACATTCTTCACAGCTGTGGAACATACAGTCAAGGGTATCTGTGGCACTGTGGCAGGAAGCATAATAATTAGCAGAGTAAATTCTATTCTTGAGGGAGTTCCTCTTCCCTGGTAGATTCCTCAGCATGAAGCCCTCTATCTCCAAAGCAGGACATGGCCCCTGTGATTTACTGCGAGTGCCTATGTCTGAGTCCTTGAGAAGAAAACCGAGTATTATTTGTGTTTTACTAGAAGAATTAATACACCAAGGGGAAAGAATTTTGAGTAGAAGCACTACTGTGGGCTTCTAATGACCGGAAAGTAGCACTGCCTCATGCATTCAGACCCCAACAGTACGGAAGTTAGGACTGATATCTATGAAAAACTAGTTTCTAACCTAATTAATCTGGTACTAACTTAAATAACTCCTTACCTTTTTCATGCTAAAACAGAGGTCAGGGAAATGATGTACTAATGTAACAGTCTCCCTCAGTCTCAGTCATATTTGTTCATCTTTAAGAGTCTTTCTTCTTGAAAAGCAGTGATGAATCTATATGAAAAGGAATCTCCCAAAATGTCTCCCTTCAGCAATTATTGCAGTTCATGAAGAAATTTAGTTTGCAAATACTCAGAAAACAGGTGGACTTCTGATTATGAATGTGATGGAGTAACTTGTAGTAGACTAATACTTTCACCGAGAATAACCAAGAAATCCAGATAAAATTTTAAAATGTCTGTTTGAAGGCACTAGAGCATGACGAGGCAGCCAGGACTTTGGAAAAGAGAGGCAATGACACTCTGCAGCCATTTTTTTCCTCAGAATGTTTGAGGATTCTGGGCATGAGGTAAACGGGTGGGGATATGAGTGAGAACATGAACTGAGGACCTCTACTAAGAGGAGAGAAACCAGCAGAGCACTGGTAGAAAGAAAGAGGGGAAACTGAGCCCAATATTCTGCCAGTTTTCCCCTCAAGATATTTACCAAACTCTGAAACTGCATTAACTGAAAAACTAAAGAAAAAAAAAAGAGACTGTCAAACTAGAATTTTAAACCCTGGAAAAGTGTCTTTCCAAAAACGAAGGCAAGATTTTAAGCAGCGTGGCATCATGGGTCTGAATCTCCCTAAATTTGAATCTCTCACATAAAACAGATAAACTGCTAGAATAATAGAACAACAACCCATAAACAACAAAACAACAAAACATCCCCCAATGAAACCCAAAATATGACCAGGTAGACATCATCCACTAACAGCCATGAAACAGTGAAGTGTCAGCATCTGCCGAGAGGAGGAAGGGATAAAAATGGCACCTGCGGGCTTCCCTGGTGGCGCAGTGGTTGAGAGTCCGCCTGCCGATGGGGGGACACGGGTTCAAGCCCTGGTCCGGGAAGATCCCGCATCCCGAACACAAACAGAGCCCGTGAGCCATGGCCACTAAGCCCGCGCGTCCGGAGCCTGTGCTCCCAAAGGGGAAAGGCCAAAGAAGGGAGGGGCCGCCGACCAAAAAAAAAAAAAAAAAAAAAATGGCATCTGAAATACCTGAAAATAGGAATACCCCAAAATAGTCAACATGTATTTACTGCAAAGCACAGCAGAACATTTTAGGAACAAAAGTCACAGGAAAGAAGGGTTCTGTACACGCCGATGGAGGAGTAACTACAAGGCGTTTGAGAGGCTGAGCAATGTGGGCTTGAGAAAATCTAAAACTTCATCTTCTACTCTGGGATGAAGTAAGGTGGAAGAAACGTCACTCCCATAGTTAAGACAAAAAATAAGCCAGATTAACTTCAAATTCATGAATTTTTCTACTGCATTGGAGAGCCGAGTTTGCAGAGCAGCACACTTGCCCAAAATCTGAGGAGATACAGTCCCTACCAGAGGAGAGGAGACGTGAGCACTCACTGATCTGGGGTAAGCTTACCAGAAACCAGTAAGAAGAGTTCCGCTAGAAACAAACACTAATGAACTGGTGAAGGCAGGTTATGGACTGGCAGGATAGGAGGAAGGCTCTGAGGGCCTCAGAGACTGGGGGGTCTGCACTCTGTTGCAAGCGCTTTCTCCACGAATCCTGCTGGGGGCTTTCAGAAAAGCTCAGAAAGAGCCCTAAGAATGGACCACTGCGATGCGGTCCTTGAAGAGAGGAGCGTTAGCCATGCAGGAGGAATACGAATCTCAACCCCATGCATTTCCTCTATCTCCCCCAGGGAAAACAATGCCTTTCTCTGTGGGGAAAGGACAACACACTCTAGGGCAATGGTGGAAATTCACTGCAGCTGGGAGAAGCAAATGGGGAAAAAATACTACTCCTGGGGGAAGGGCAGAAATATACACTGGGCACAGAACCACATACTCCTGAGGCCATACCGTGGACTTAGCACCTAAGACTGAGATTTGGGCAGAACAACAGAAAATGCCCACATCCCAGTTCCCCACATCACTAACTAAATAAATTCAAGTAACTAGTAACAGCATAATAGTACTGGGAAAGGGACAGAAGAGGAAACAGAGTATGCAAAGATACCATCTGAGGCACAGTGTAAAGGGAAGACCTAAAGTTCAGTGTCGAAAAGACATTGCTCTGGAAAACCAACTCTCATGTTAAGCACAAGGAATCACCATAGGAATTTGAAGTCTGTCGTACACTGAGGGTGGACATAGCAACAACAACCTCAAACCCAATCCAACTCCTAACCAGGTTAACTCAAAACTCTGTTCTAAAGACCCAGCAGAAGGAAACATGTGCCCATTGCCAGGCATAAAATCTTCATACCTCATTCTCTACTGGCCTACACGATATGTTTGGCTTCAAACAAACAAATAAAAACACACAAAAAGGTAAGAAAAATCACATTCCCAAGAAACAAAGTGATCATCAGAACCAGAATCTGATATGACACAGACACTGGAGCTATCAGACAAGGAATTTTAAATAATTATGGTTAACATGTTAAAGGCTCAAATGGAAATGGTGGACATTATGCAAGATAAGCAGGTAACTGCAGTAGAAAAACACACACTAAGAAAGAACAAAATAGAAATGCTAGAAATGAAAAGCACAGTAGCAGAGATAAAGAATACCTTCAATGGGCTCACCAGTAATCTCAACACAGCCAAAGAAAGAATCAGTGAACTTGAAGATCAGTCAACAAAAATTACCCAAATTGAAACACAAAGAAAATTTAGAAGAATATCCAAGATAATATAAAACAGTCTAGTATGAGTCCAATTGGAATCCCAGAAGACAGAGGGATGAGAGATTATTTTATTTTTATTTTTTATTTTATGACAACATAATGGGTGAGAATTTCCCAAAATTAAATGACACACACCAAACCACAAATGCAAGAGGTTCAGAGCCCCCAGTAAACCACCTCTTGGCATATATTCAAACTACTGAAAACGAAAGAGAAAATCTTGAAAGCAGCCAGAGAAAAAAGAAACTTTACATAGAGAGAGAAAAATAAGAATTACATCAAATTTCTCATCAGAAACCATGCAACTCAGAAGTCTATACCCAGAAAATATCTTTAAAAAAATGCAAGGTGCCATTGCTGGTGCCAATGTAAACTGGTCCAGCCACTTTGGAAAACAGCTTGGCAGTCAGCTCCTTAAAAGGTAAAACATAGTGCACTCTGCTTCTGCTGTAAAAGGTATAATAGTCTGATGACACAGGAGTAGTTTCACATTTAAAAAATCATCACCTGGAACAAAATAGATAATGACTAGTATTATATAAACATTGTATCTTAAATAGTTTATTCAATCTCTTCAAAAAATAGTTTAATTTACTGAAATAAACATTTTTTAAATGTTACATATAAGTTTATCATGCAAACCAGAAATTTTACTCCTAGGTATGAAGTAAAAAGAAAACATATGTCCACACAAAGACTTGTAAGCGAATGTTCATAAAAGCATTACTTATAAAAGCCAAAAAGTGAAAACAATTCAAGTGTTCATCAACTAGTAAACAGATAAATAAACTATGCTATATCCATGCAGTGGAATACTGGAACAAAAAACCGATACATGCTACAAAATGGATGAACCTCAAAAACATTATGCTAAGTGAGAGAAGCCAGACGCAAAACACTCAATATTGTACAATTCAATTTACGTGAAATTCCAAAGAGGGCAAATCTATCGGCATAGAAAGAATATTACTGGTTGCCTGGGGTTGGGGGCGGAAAGGTGACTGACCTATGGTATGGGGATCTTTGGGGGTGATGACAGAATTCTAAAAGTGGATTTGGGTGATGGTTGTATGATTCTGCAAATTCACTAAAAATCACTGAAGTGTACACTTAAAAAAGGTCAATTTTACAGTATGTAAATTTTATCTCCATAAGGCTAACTTTTAAAATGAAAAAGAAATAAAGACTTTCTCAGAAAAATAAAAATAATGATGGAAATCATAGCCAGAAGTCTTACTCTACAAGAAATCTTAAAGAAGTTCCTCAGGCTGAAGAAATATATTAGGGTGAAACATGGATCTCCACAAATAAATCAAGAATGCTAAAAAGAAATAAATGAAGGTAAAATACATGATTTTTCCTATATTTAATTGACCTAAAAGATAACTGGGGGCTTCCCTGGCAGCGCAGTAGTTAAGAATCTGCCTGCCAATGCAGGGGACATGGGTTCGAGCCCTGGTCCGTGAAGATCCCACATGCCACAGAGCAACTAAGCCTGTGCGCCACAACTACTGAGCCTGCGCTCTAGAGCTTGTGTGCCACAACCACTGAAGCCCACAGGCCTAGAGCCTGTGCTCCACAACAAGAGAAGCCACCACAATGAGAAGCCCATGCACCGCAACAAAGAGTAGCCCCCACTCACCGCAAATGGAGAAAGCCCGCGCGCAGCAATGAAGACCAAATGCAGTGAAAAATAAATAAATTAAAGAAAGAAGAAAGA